CCATGTTTACAACAAATAAGCGGTTGCTTTGTTGCAAAGAAGCGTTGAATCATGGGTCGGAATTCAAAATTTTATGGGATACGTTTCGATCGCAGATCGCAGAACTTTGGTTTTCCATATGATCGCACGATCGCAATTGATCACAGACGATCGCAGACGATCGCAGAAGTATGTTTCCATATGATCGCAGACGATCGCAGAACTTTTTGCGATCTGCGATCCGCGATCCGCGATCGTCTGCGATCATATGGAAACCAGCCTTAAATTAATATCTTCAGCATCTTGGTGCTTTAGGGGCATTTACTTGGAAAGTAAAGGTACTCAGTCACACATTTTAGTACTGGTTTGACTGAGAAATGAGGCTGCTAGTGTGGCTAACAAATACATACATACTTTACATACTTTATTTTATTCCAAAAGCAAACTAGATATACATTCAAAAACTTAATATAGGGGAAAAAAGAAAGTTGCCTTTAGAAAAAAAGGTTATCCTTATATGAAAACTTTCTTAAAATGGTACAATAAAATCAAAATTAAAATTAAAATTAAGATCCTTAATTACACTTAAATATTTAAGTGCAATGTGAGCTTAGATTTCAACTGCTGAAGGTATCAGCTTCTGGTACATCTATTAGTAATTCATTCCATAATTTAACAATCCTGATGAATAATGAATGTCTATAACAATTAAGTCTTGCGGGTTTGACATAAAGTTTGTACTGATGATTTGCTCTCGTAGACGGAGCTGTTTAGTGGCTGTCTGTATCTTCTGTTGACAATTGTATCAAACTCAGTTAGTTTCCAGCTAATTTGAAAATACATTCCAGGATTTTTGGAAAAACGTCTCAAGAGCATGTTTTGTTGTTCCTAAGAAGGGGGGTCAGCCATCCTCTGATTAAATCTACACGAATAACCCGATCTATTTTCATCCTTAGTCATCACAACTAAGGTTTGGTCATCAGTGACATCCTTGAAGATAATGGTAGGATGAAATCCCTCTTTATGTTGCGCATCCATCCAGTCGTCTCTGGTAGCTGTATCAGACACGTCAAACCAATGGAACCGCTGTTCCTGTGATGTCTCTGTCATCACCACAAAATACTGCCCCAGTCCAGTGGAGTAACATATTCCTGTTATAGATTTTCCCCATTTATACTCGTTCTGTATTTCTTTGTCGGCCTTTTTCCATGAGCTATGAGTGAAACACCTCTGTGGTTTTTTCTTGTATTCTCTTGTGCCCTTTGTCATAATAATGTAAAATGTTGAATCCCTGGCAGCGCATGCAGTGACATCAAAGCCATCTTCCCGTTTCTTCTCTATATCGGATAAGTTCGTTACAATCGTTTGATGTGTGCCATAATCTGCCATGAAAAATGCACCGAATGCTTTCTCGTCAATTGTAAGAGAATAAATCTGTGTCGACTTTCCTTGATTTTCATTAACCTTCTCAAGGAAGGAGTCAGAGTCATAACGAATCATCCAGGAAACCCTGGGCCTGGGCCTGTAACTTTCTGAAGGTGCAAAGCACCCACTTAAGTAGCTATTATGAAAACTTTGGCAGATCACAATATTATCAGAATTTCGAATATGGCTGGCAATCAAATCTTTGTACTTAACTGAGTCATATCCCGTAGTAATTGGGAAGTCATTCCTGTTCCCTCCACTGTACATAGGTTCAGTGCCAGGACGTGCTTTTTTTCCTGTCATGAACAACGTCAAGTCTCCGCCTTCATCTAAGAAGCGTTCGAAAAATCAATTAGATAAAGAATTCATGCTTTTCCGATTAATATTGTAAGTTTTACTTGTTGCATGTTGATTGCACAATGCTACATTTTGTCATGCCATAGTTTTTCCCCGAAAAAAAAAAATGGCATTAAAAACCTTGTTAGAGTGATAAACTCATACCTCGTGCTCGAGAGGTGTGGGGGCATGTACATTCAGAAAATGGTGAAACATTTGAGCGTCTTATATGAACCCGTTCAACCGGGCCGGCTCGGTTTCCGAGATCTCGCCTCGCCACTCCTTTCTTCGTATAAATTGCGAAGTGTTCATATGAGAAGTCGGGCTGGTCCGGTTACCGATCGAGATCTTGGTTTTTGCGATCGAGATCTCGGTAACCAGGATGAAAATTCTCCCATTCGAACACTCCAACCCGGGTGACCGGGACGAAACTTTTTTGACAAAACAGCTTCGCTTTCGCATCATAGCGGGCAAAATGGCGTAATTTTTGCCTTGTATGTGTTTCCACTTCAGAAGTGTGCGAATTAGCTTTATAAGTAAAGTAACAGGAGTCAACAAAGCTACAATAGTCGCAAACGATACAAGTTTATGTTCCACCATTTAGGTTTCGTTTCTTGAATCCCATCCCGGTCGACCGAGCTGAAATTTCTCATATCAACAGATGACAAAATTCCTCTCGGTGACCGAATCAGCCTGGTTACCTGGCTCATATGAAGAGGCCCTTGGACATGTTTTCCTCGATTTTGAGTGGCCAGTTGAACCTTTAACAGCAATGCTCTGGCTCTAAATGAGCCGTGTTTGGATCAAAAAAGTTTTAAAATACGTGACAAATCACCATTTCATAACTGCATAACATTGCATTGGTTTGCATGAGACTCGAGAGCTTTGAAAATGGCATGCTTTTTATCGCTACTAAGCGTTCATTGTTTAATGTGTTGATGGCGATGCTGCTTTGTTTCGGTCATGCACCCTCTATTCCTTATGTCACGAATGAAGCTAACTACACCCATGTGAGCTACTGTCACTAGTCTTTTTTAAAGGCAAATATGACAATGCCTGCACCTTGTTTACAAAATTAACATTTGTGCTTCATGAAGAACTCATGGTTGTTGCGTCAGATACATTATAACGGAAATTGCAACCTTAAGTGAGTCAGGTTTAAATAATTTCAAACTCACCAGTCAAACTTCTTTACAGTATTTGGAATTTTTTCTTAAAATTTCACAGTTCATTGAGAAAAAAACTAACGTCAACCCCGCCCCCCGGCCTGGTCTGCTCGTCAAGACTATGCTATACAGGATGGAGGCGCTTTGGTTGCCGTAATAAACTCACTTCCACCTGAGTTGTTTACAATATGGAGCGAATAAACGTCTCGAAAACATGAACCTATCTTGTGTTTAGAAGAGTGACTCAAGAGATCTTTTCGTTACAGATCTATCAAAGCTAAACAGTTACATTTAAAATTATCTTGAAGGTTTTACAAACCTTTGGTATCAATAGCTTTAAAATACTCCGGACATGCTGCCAGACAGTGGAAGCCTGTGATGTTCTTTTTCAGGCAGAAATTCGCCCAATGGCCACTGTAGCAAGAATCGCTGAATATCATTGGGTAGTAAGCTCCTTCAGGACGCATATCAAGAATTTCTTGAATGCTGATTGTCCCATCATCAAAGCACCAGTTTCCAGTCCCAAGTTCTCCATGCCCAGTGTAGTATAAGATAGGTTGAACGTCACGTTTGCAAATGTCAAAAAGTTTCTGGATATGACCAAGAGCTGCGGACTTGGTGAAATAAAGATCTCTTACAGTGTTGAACAAATTAGTTCCAACTGCACGTTCCATGTTGGCTAAATCATGAGTAACACCAGAAAGAAATGTCCCACCTTTGACTCCAGGAATGTCTCTGGTCCTTCTGTCGGAAATGTCAATGCCGCTTGGAGGATTTGAAGCACCTGAGAGAAGCAACCACTTGCACTTCTCGGAAGTTGGGTTCCACTCTAGCCATCGGTCAATTCGACCAACATCGGGTCCCTGTGCAATTGCAGATCCGGCAAAATGACAAGGCATGGTTCTTCTTGATAGTCTCTGGTGTCTGCACTCTTTTATCACCTGAGATAGGCAAAAGCTGTGAATTTTCAATTTTTATTTTTCACGAATTGTTGAGTGCAAAATTTTTAGTTTTTTACATAACTACATGCAGGACAAGGCTTTCCCAGGCTCTAACATAAACAAGGTAAGAACAAAGCCAATGAGCAAGATAATAATTAATCGTATAATTAACTCATGTTGAAGAGACACGCCATTTATCCCTGGGAAATTCTGTAACTACCTACCTATCGCGGCTTCATCGCCCAAATAATGAAATACATAACCAGCGGGACTCGTGAGCGAGTAATTTTTGGTGCGGAGATAATGACAAGAATTCATTGTAGTGAGGACGGTAGCAACCTCGTTGAGAGACCCTTATGGGAACGAGGTTGGGACGGCAGACAAAAATGCATCGAAAAGAAATCGTTTTAGTGTAAACGGGGCCGAGACAAACGGGAAGACATGTTTATGTTACGCTTGAGGGTTCCCTTATAAAAATGGGCTTGGCTCACGAGACAAAATTGCGGACATTTGATACTAACAAACGCTTCACTAATTTCAAGTTGCAAAAACAGCCAGAAACAAACCCAAAATTTTGAAATTGCATCATACTATTTGTGTACTTTTCGAACAGTGCACAGCTGTAAAAGTATTTACCCGTAGATCGCAATCCCTCAAAGGAAACAGTCGATCGAGAAACACGAATCGCCTGAGGTGTTTTTCAACCAGTGATAGAACCAGGATGACGCAACAACGCCTTGATGTTACCTCAAAAGGTTAGACAAAGTAATTTATTTCCACAGTATGAAAAGCTTGTTTGTCTTTCAAAAGAATGAAAAAATTAACCGCGCGGCCATGGGCCGAGCGCGGTTCATAATCTACCCTTGGTTTATTATTATTTTTTTTTTGTCGGTGACCAGACCCAAACTTCCTCTCGGCCAAATTTTGAGTCACGCAACGTGTGATGTTTATTCGCTAAAAGCT